CACCAGTTGTGTATATATTCGAATCAAATTGTTTACCTAATATTATGCACTTAAGTAACAGTACTTGTAGCATAAAGTATATCCATCCTATTGAATTTTTTACATCGTTTAAAAGAATACTATTTCGCGCAATTTAATTTACTATAATAAAACTTGCTACTTTTATTTTATTAAGTAGTGTCATTGTTATATACTAATATTTTCTAACCTGGATCTGATCACTGGTTTAAATGTTAGTTAACATGACTATAAAAATAATCCGACATAATCTGTAAGAAGACTGATATATATATATATATATATATATATATATCAAGTAAACAGCTGAGTAGTATTATGGGTCATTACAGAAGAAGCGATATTGGTGAGTTTCTGCAAATGATCTTTAGGTGACATTTAACGATACCTAAACTACATGAAATAGCATGAGTGACCAGGTGAAGCAGAACACATAGCATTAGTGATTTCTGCATTTAAGCTGACGCCTGTCAGCACTACAAGAAGATATAATGGAAGCCTGGGTGGGGGTAGCGGTCTAGTTTGATGCAGCAGCAGCTGAGCTACCAAACCCAACTGCAATCAGCACGAGTAATCCCCAGCTTTCATGTGAATCATCACCACAATAGCTTCTCAGGTGGGTTTGCTCTCATCAATCCTAATCCTAATGAATCATAACAGGCGTAAAGTAATAAAATTTTCCACGTCTAAATTTGAATCCTACTGTTTTCACAGTCTACAACCTCCCCTCTCTATCTTGATTTAAGTTATCTTAATAAATAAATTCACTTGGTTAACATGTTCATCCATATCTAAGCTAAACTGTTGTAATCTATCTATATTTCTTAGTACTACAATCTTTTAGAGTTCATGCACACTGATAGTAACCAGCAGCTATAACGATTAGTTAAATCAAATTAAATCCACCAGAAACATCATTGATTACTGAGAGTACATTCAACTCAACTAATCATCGCTTTTACACGAAAAGATAATTCCAACTCAATTTTTTCTTTCTTTAAAAGAAACTAGAGTCTCAGTGTTTAAACAATTGTCAAGTGATAAGAGAAACAGACCTTCAATAGGTAGATAGATAAATAAATCAATAAACATAGAAGCGACTTTGCTTACAACCATAATTACAGTGTTTACAGATTATCCATATTATCAGTGAATGTGCACAAACACAAAGGACATGGAGACACTAAACATGCACTCTTTTCATTCAAATCCTTGATGAGTTAGTGGTTTACAATTATATATATACATATGCAAGGAAAGTCAACAAACCGATTTCTACTAAACTTAGAAGTAATTCGATCCTTCGTGTTGTCACCATAATTCAACTGCGACTAAGAAATTGATTAAATGTCATAGTAAAATGTATTCCTTGAGACACTTTTTACAGCTACAGGATTTTAGGTTGAACAGTTCAGCACTACAAAAAACCATAAACTCGAATAACCATTGGAAAATTTATTTAGATACCAAACACCAACAAGCAGTTGATATTCATAAGTTGGGTATGTCAAATCTTCACGACTTATAGAATTGATAGAACTCAGATAGCACTGTCCAACTTGTTTTTCCTAGACTGAGATGCTTCATAAGCAATTGGTTTTAAAATTGGATTTCCTGGGGAATTTTTGAAAAAAAATCACATCATCTGGCCAGGGTGAATGGGAGGAAAGTCAGTAACCAATCAGAAGAAATAGCTGGGACAGAACATCATAAATAGACAGTCTTTGGAATCATGTATTGTTGGATCCCAACTTATCACCTAAGTCTAATAGCCTTGTGACTAGAGTTCGACCCCAAGTGAATCACGGCTTCGGATTTCTGAAACTGTGTGTTACACACCTCAGTTTCTCTAAATAATTATACCTTCACAATTAAATTTCCCTGAAAATACAATATCTGAATATATTTTAGTGAAGTAAGTGAAGGTTATCGTCCAAAAGTGAAATTGATGTTGTTGAAGCTGAATTACAGTGTTATTTCATATTTAACGTTAGGATTCAGTCAAACTAATATCGCTTTCGTTCTTGTCAGTATATAAAATACACTGAACTAGTGTACATGTTTTTCTTTGACCGTTAGACTTTGATAGAAAGATCAAGACAATTAGTTCAGCGAATAAGCTATACAATCGTCTTAACATACAATTTTTGCATGACAGGGGATAGTAGCAAAAGTGATGAGTTGTCACAATCATAGTTGCTAATACAAGTCAATGCGTAAGAGGAGTTAAATATGTGTATTCAAGTTACGTAATAAGATGAATGTGCGTCGGTGACACACCGGTAGAATGCTCGCCGACCACGCATGTGGTCCGGCGTTATCATTGTACATGTTTTTTTTTATTACATACTGATGACATAGAATAGACTGGTCTATTCACTGTATTTTTGATATGATGGAGATCCACTAACAAAAAGAACGACTTCAGTTGATGTTATTCCTTTTTTTTGTAAATCTTACAGGTGACTTTTCATTTCAGGTGAAAAAATAACATTGAATATTTTGATTAACTTCCTATCTGGGTACATACAATAGTCTACTTTCAGCTGTTTCCGTGATACGACACTCAGTCATCTTTAAGCAAGACTCACTCTTGAACCCACTCCGTAGTTTCAATTTTTTTTATTCCTTTGTGTTCCCAGTGGAATGTAGGGCTTCAAGCTAGAGCTGTGAAGTTTCGGTAGCAGTGGTATTTATTTTTACGGGATAGGGTTGCTAGCCTCATGCCTCTTTACTTACCAGTCTGACTACTCTCTTAGCGAGGTAAAGGAGTTTCATATATATTTATATCGCGAGATAAGGGCGACTCAATACAAAACACAGTTTCTGCACACTCATACCCTAGATGATATTGATTAGAAAAATAGTCTTTTAATGTAAATACGAATAAGGTAAACATGGAGATAAGTAAATGACATCAATGCTGTGAGTGAATTACTCCTTTTTCACTGGATGCGTTCAATTCGATTTTTCTACAATTGTTTTATTTCTTCCTTTCGCATGTATAAAAAAAGACTACTTTAAAACTACATCACCTAAGAATCAAGAAATCAATGTCAACAAACTTTTTAAAACAACAACAAAAACAATCGTGATGTTAAAGCTTATCGATTAGATATTGTAAACATTTGGTGAATTGCATTTATATGTAAACTAAATAGAAGATATACCTTGCTGTGATGTTTTTGAAACATTTCAGTCAGTCGACTTCATGATTACTTGTAGAAGTTATTCAAAGTGAAGATAGAAAGCAATACCAGTGATTACACAGCTTAAAATGGACTTATTGTGTAGTTATGTCAGTCGTCTGCATATCAGTTTTGGTCTACAAGTGATCAATCTCTGAACAAATATTTAAATAAATAAAGTATTCTGCCTTTACCTCAATCAGTGAATACTCACCAGATGAAGCGACTGGCTGATATGAATACTGAAAACGCAGTACCCACAAGATATATGGTGGGAAGCGTAGGTGATGCGGTCGAGATTCTCAGTATGCCAATAATGAACAGTCAGAGATACTTAGTGAAATGGCACAACTATGACAATAGCCTGAGCATATTTACTTTTTATCTGGACTTTTACTAAATATCCGCTTGCTCTCTTTCACTTATGTCTCTACATTATAGCTTCATCCGAAATTACTTCTATCAATTCATTATGTTTCTCTTTTCAAAGTGTGGCAACTTGAACTGACCTACTGTGGTGAGAGGTTCAGTGTTAAATTGACAACTTATAAATTAGTTCCTAAATTAATTAATTCGCAATCTTCATACTTGTAGGTGATTATTTCACCATGTTCTCCATTGGAAACCTTCAAACTTCAGATCATAGTATATGGTGTGCTTGATGCCTTAAATAGTAGTCAAGAAAGCAAGCATAAATGCAACACACTGCATATTAACAGTCGGTTAATCAATTAGTTGAGATAGATGAGTGTAGATAACTAATAGAAAACGTGCTAGTGAAAGGTGTTAGAAACATCTATGATACTAAAAAGGAGATAAATCTATTCTGAAATAGACTTTAAAGCGTCGGTGGCACAGTGGTTAGGACTCTCGCCGACCATGCACATGGTCCGGGGTTCGATCACCTGCCGACGCACACCCGATATCCATGGTCGGCCTGCAAAATTTGGGCTACCGATATCCATGCTGAAAATACGGTGTGGCATCAAGCTGTAACCAAAAAGAAATTTTTTTTTCAATCAGATTCATTTTACTGACATTCGAATCACTTCATTCAGTTAAAATACTTCCCCTTCTTCATAACCTGGAACAGAAGCTAGCGATTGAACAGCGTAGTGTTGACTAGATACTTGCTAGACGTTCATGATATACTTTACGGTTATCTTAGTTATTCCAGTTAATCTCAGGCCAAAACGCACAACTATGTACCTAAATATGTTGGAAAGAATGCCAAATGAATCTTAAGTCGTCTTAGAGACCTGTGCAAATCTACTAATTGTACTGGTCCACACTCGGTTTAGATTTCTCACTAGTGTATGTCTTCACTTTCATTTTCAGTTACCTCAGTCAACTTCATCTGTGTCGGTAAGTTTTAGAATTAAGCCTAGCTACATTTAATTTTTAAGATATAATAATGAGAACTTTCAGACAACGTGATTACCCTGTCACGATTATTTTGAAGAGATAACCACACTAATAAATATTTGCCCAGTCATCTGTATTTCAGTAGCAAACCAGTCCCAAATGCTTTTGCAAACTGAAAGTTATAAACTTTGTCTTCCTGTTTATCCAGAATGCTTCAGAATGAAGTGAAGGCAGCCACCAGTGACATGTTAAGAATATCGACTGCATAGCTATTAAGAAAGAGATATCAAACAAATGATCCCTTCTTATAAGTAATGCTAAATGTCTGATGGTTAACAGCAACCTGGAACCGATATGAAAACTTATGGACGAAAAGTATCTTACATTAGTATTGGTGTTTAATGTATACATATTTTCCCTAATTTTCAGGCACAATGTTGGCGTTCTTTTGGGTTATCCAAAGGCAAGTCATTGGTCTACGTTAAGAAATAATCTTGACATTCTAACTGATCACTGGTTAAGCTTAGCCACAAAAGCAACAGAGAAAATAGCGAATCGTGATGACAGTGTTAACATACTCGTAACAACAACACAATTTATACCATCACTGGCTAAAATTCTACTTTATGGATACGGGAATTCATTTCGTATTGAAAATATTTATTCGGCGACTAAAGTTGGTAGGTTAATATGCAGTTTCTTTTCGTAGAAGTATGATTATATCCCTCGCAGCGTAGAATACTACCTCGTTTAGTTTTCCAGCCGGTTCCGAAACCGGGAAAATACGGAAGTTTGGGTGTGGGGCTAGCCACCCTACCTACATCCGGAAGATCAACCAACTTACCACAGAAACTCCAAACCACAACAAAAATATAATCAAAAACTTATTCTTCCATGGAATCGGAGGGGCGGAATGATGTGGACCAGCGAAAGCCTTCGGGAACCAGTCAACCAATATGTCCTCTTTCGTTGAAATCAAAAATAAGAATGACGATATGGAATGTCCATACAATGTTTTAGCTAGGGAGATTGCTCAGATTTCTAAAGAAATGAGAAGATATGGCATAGAAGTGCTTGGAATCTGTGAGTACAGATGGAATGCAAGTTAACTCTCCAAACTCTTAACTGAAGAGTAAATGATCTACTCCGATCATCCAGATGACACCCACCAACACACTGAGGGAGTGGTCACCATGATGTCACCACACAATTCAGTGCTCTTATACAATGGAAACCAACAGAAGGAGCAGCTGTGTTCAATGCACAACGTACTGAATAAAGAAGCGAATAAGAATGCGAAGGAAGAAAAAGATAATTCTACGACACACTCCAAGCTGTAGTAGAAGAAGTCGTAGGCAAAACAAACCTCGGAATTTTATTTCAGATAATCAGGTCTCTACCCGGGAAGAGATCAACATGCACGAACCGAATGAAAGACAGAGAAGAGAATCTAATAATCAGATAGGACAGCAAGGGAAATAATGGACTGATCACTTCGAAGGACCCTTGAATTCACCATCGCCTGCAACTAGTCCAGAAAGACCACCAACACGCACGCACGCACGGAACTGCATGTCAGTGGACACCAATCCTCCATCCAAAGCAGAAACCTTCAATGCAATATAGCTGCTGAAGTTCGGGAAAGCAGCTGGAGCGAACAATTTTCCTTCTGAAGCACTGAAAGCTGATTCAGAGATTGCAACAGATGCGCCCACGCCACTATTGCAAAAGGTTAGAAGTAAGGGAAGTTACCCAATGGCTGGAAGAAAGGTTGCTTTGTCAAACTGCTGAAAAAGGGGGACTTAGGTCTCTGCAAGAGCTGGCGTGGGATCATGCTCTTGTCGACGCCAAACAAAGTATTAAGTCGCGCCATCCTAGCTCGATCAAAAGATCCACTGGATGGAGAACTCCGACCTGGACAAGCTGGAATCAGGAATTCACCATTAACTTATATTAGTTAGATAACCATTGGAAAACCTTGGAGTACTGGACAACTGCTTCACCATAGCGCAAGACTCTTCAGCAGGACGTACAAAGTGGAGTTCGAATCCGGAACCACCTGGTCACAAGGCGAGTCCGTAAACCATTAAGTCACTGGGACGCGATTCATTGGCCTATGAATCCCAACTTCATCGCTACCAATGGCCAATGTCTTCCACGAATATTGGTCCTCACAACCAACCTGCTCATGACGAAATCCTGAAACCAATCAAATAACTGCAGACCGACAATTGCACTCAGAAAAGGCAAATCATGTGCGGATCAAATTGCAACTACACATATCATCCTCATCAACATCGAACAGAGTATGGAATGACAGTCTAACCTCTACATCAACTTCATTGACTTTGGAAAGGCCTTCGACACCGTTGACCACAAAGTAATTTGGAAACTACTTCAACACTACGGAGTACAACGCCCAAATCTTCATCAAACTCATTCAACAACTATATGACAATACCACATGTCAAGTGGTACACAACGGAAAACTCAGCGAGACAGGAATTAGACAGGGCTGCCTATTATCACTGGTGATATTTCTAATTGTGGTGGAGTGGATTATGCCGAACAAGGTGACACAAAACCAGAAGACCCACAGGCCCATACCAACAAGTTGGCAGAAGAAGTATCAAAGTCAGAACTTCAAGTGAACACAGGGGAGGCAGAGGTGATGAAGATACCCCATCACTGTCAATAACAGGCACCAGTCAGAACTGACGAGAGAAATTTGGAAGAGGTGAACTCTTTCACTTATATGGGCAGCATCGTTTCAACTGAACACGGAACGAATGAGGATGTCGAAACTGGAATCTTAAAGGCAAGACACACCTTCGTCACTCTGAAATCAGTTCGGAGATCTTCCACACCCAGCATAAACAACAAGATTCGGATTTTCAACACCAATGTTAGGTCAGTCAGTTCTTCGACATGGGTCGGAGACTTGGCTTGTTACGGCGAGCATTCTCAACAGGTTGAAAACTTTTATCAACAGCTGCCTTCACTGTCTCCGTATTGTAGACCAGATGTCCAGAGACAATTAGTAACAAGAAAGTATGGGAACGAACCAATCAAACACCTATTAGTCAATACATATTCCGAAGGAAATCGAGATGGATCGGACACACGATGAGGAGACCGTTGGGTGACGTCACGCGTCAGACCAGCGCTCGAGTGGAACCCGAATGGCTAACCATGAGTGGAGGTCGTGAGAGGAGTTGGCCAGAGACTATGGACAATTTTAGGGCCAGCTAAAGAGAACCACAGAGAATGGGACCAAGTGGAGATGTTCCGTTGAATCCACATGTTTCACTCGGAACCCAAGAGAACAATAATAATAAAATATATTGTACGCCGATCTAATACTTCACTCATTTGATCACCTCTGTCACATTGATTGACAAGCCATGGCGACATGCAATAGTATTCACTGCACTTTGTTTCCGGATATTTCATAACTCTAGTAATCCTCTCGATATAGGTGTGACATCTTTCTAATCTATTGAACCACCCCTTTAGCTTAAAACAGACAAATGCTATTCCTGGCTTTCATGTTACAAAGCTTGAGTTAAAGGAAGATCAGACCTCAAATGGAGGTGATTTTAAACAAAGGAGTATTAAAATTTCACCGAGTCAGGCTCTTGATACGAACGTGGCCCTATACGTAATAACTATCTGCGAAATAAGAGTACAGAAGCACTTTAATAGGACATTGATTGCAGTAATCTAGAGTATAGGTGCACCATTTAGAGAAAAGTCTGAACATGTTCTTCCTGAATATACACTGCTGACTTGGTTGTTCTCTTAGCCATAAATTCAGTTATGTGAAGAAGACCGTTCACGATTATATCTTATGTATGCGGTATATCAGCGTCTACAAATACTTATTGTGTGCAAAAATACTAATGCCATGCAGTTCTGTCTTTATTGAAACAGGGAAGGAAAACTGTTTTGAAAGAATTTCATCTCGATTCGGCAGGAAATGCACTTATGTAGTTATTGGTGATGGAAAGGAAGAGGAGGAAGCCTCTAAACAGGTTAGTCTACATTATAAATTGTTGTCGACTTAGTGATATTAATAATAATAGTCATGATCAGTTTCCATACTTTTGGTAGACCGTTTAACTCTTGAATAGCTTTGGACTGTGTAGTGTAGGTTTGAATCCCCTTATGAGAATCAGATTGTTTAAGAACACATGTAAGTTTCACTGATGACTATCCAAAAAACACAAATCATAACTCCAATCACCTAGAAATGCTCAAGGGGGTGGGTGAATGAAACTTGCATTGATTTATAGAAGCAATTTTAGTTTTTCAACGGTGACAGTTCACAGGCTTCCCTGTTACATTTGTCACAATCTACTGGAAAAGGAATTGTAACTGAGGTTAAAAGAATTTCTGAACGAAAAAATGATTCAAATTCTTGATCAAATTAAAGTATAAAGGGGGACAATGAGTCACTTTCAAATTGTCAAAATAAACTTGTACTATATAACTCTACAATCGGACTAAAACAGATTTTTTTAAATTATACTCTATTTTTCAGTTTCATTGGCCATTCTGGAGAATAAATACTCACTCAGACTTGGTCGCTTTAAATCACGCACTGGATCTAGGCTATCTATAAGAAAACAGTCCACTTACTGCCGAGAAACTCACTTATGATGTACACTTGCAACATCATTTTCCATTCCACTATTGTTTACTATGTATGGAGGGAAACATCCCCATAATCTGTATCACTTTCTTTTCTTTAGACTATGACATGTATATGTACATAATTAATTCAAAAATGCAATATTATTTCTTGCTTAACAATACATTCACAGTAGATGTATGGCAGAATTACAAAAAAAGAATCAGCTGTAACAGATATCTAGATTGAATTGCAATCTATGACGATAGTGTTTCGATTGGAAGTGTCTTCCTTTTAAATTAGTACAGTAGGAGAGCGAATTATGAAAATTATTTTGAAAATACCATGAGAGAAACCGTATGACAAACAGATGTTAATGATAATAAAAATTTACAAATAGATATCTGCATTTTAGGAATTACTTCTAAGCGCTGTTATACAGCTGGTCTTCATGCAAATGGATAGTGCAGCTTAATTCAGTCACCCTGCTGTACTATCACTAATCAATATTCCACGTACACGTTTCGGATCAATAAAGTTTATAAATGCTCCTATTACACTGACCTGAACATTTTGCTCAAACATCATTCACTCTCTAGTTTTTCGATAAAGGAAGGAACTTATTATCTACTAGAGAACAACTGCTACTAATACCTCAAAACTAAATTTTTTTTGGAAAAACCCATATTTATTTTCCCACAGTGTTATACAGTAATGTTTACTGATGACGTTTCGAGCACAATTTATTGCTCATAATCATATCAACTTGATATGAGGTGAGGCAACTTACTGATTTTACAGGTGAGTTTAAAGCCCGAATAGCTCAGTGGTAACGTCTCTGACAGCAGCACTGGGTGACGCAGGTTCGAATCTCAGAAGAGACATGAAGATACGCCTTGCTGAGGAATGCCAATTAGCACGAGACCTAGGTCCAAGGCTTCCTGCCGATTGCCTCCAACCATCTAATATCATCAAATCAATGTGCACCGTGATGGTAAGCTACCTATAATGGTGGCCACATTGCCAACGTGACTGAGAGAATTGAGTCTGCACCAAAGAAAGGACTAGACACATTACACTAGTTACTCGTTAGTATCCAATCAAAGCCTTATAAATTACTATTAGTTAAAAATTTGTATACAAGGGAGTATAAGTGGAGAGAAATTAAAATGAGAAGACGAAAATTACTCACACAGGTGGCTGCAAAGATGCAATAAGATAGTAAACAAATTTCTGACAATAGAAGCACAGTTTGGTCCACTGATCACATCAAGTAGTATACACCTTTCACTATACAGTGCAGCGAAAACTGTACAGAGGATGCAATAAATGGATGATATGTTCAGTGAGACAAATCCCGCTTAGTAACATCTATAAAAGCCACCATCGTGTGACGACAGAAGATAAGACAGTCTGGTAACGAAGTTACTTATCTGTAATTATATATACAGATACGGGCAAAATACATTTGCCATTTAGTAAAATCGCAATTTGCATATTTCCTCAGTAATGCGCTACCTTGTCCTCCGTATTGTTCTTCTTTGCTTGTCATATTTTCCAATTTGTTTCGCAAGCATCGTTTACTAAATCCATCCCTCCGAAATCCGATATTCTTGACACTGACAAACATTTCTATCTGCATCTACATACTACTTATAGATCTCTTCAGTAGCACCCGCCACAATGTAAGTTGTTAAATATAGATAACAAAACGCTACAGTATCTGACGGATTACAGAATACAACAGCTCAATTTATCAGACATGAGTCTAAATAAAAAACAACCAAACCTTGATTTCTTTTCAAAGTTAAAAAGTATACTCTACACGAAAAGAAACACATGTGAAAAGTCTATGAGTTGATGCATTTTAAGGTAGCTTTCATTATGCATCGATACTTACAAATAATCCACTGAAAAGATGACAGGTGTTTTGCTCTATACTTTGAGGCTCCTCATCAGTACATACTTAGCGAAGAATTAAGTCCAAGACGTTAGATCTTGCAGTAATCTCAGTTAATTGACTATTGTGTTATTATCAAACTCTTGATAACAATCTTCTTTCATTTTTCTTGATGCCCTTAACTTAGCCTTTAGAATCTGTAAAATTACAGACTAGAAATACAAGGAATCATTCAAGTGCTAACAACACATTATTCGCAGATCTAAAAAAAGTCGTACACCCTGATATCTGAAAGTATCTTAACCACAGCCATAAAAACATACTGAGCATCTAAACAATGTAAAGAAGAATGAATGCGTTGGCTATGACAAAGAACTAGAGTCACGCATGACACTAGAAATATGTTGGTGGCTGAATCCCATCCATTAAAACCGTTTGATTGAGAACAATTAAATGTATATGCTCCAGTTATTATAGCCTACCAAAGAACCACCCAAAAGTTAGAACTTATTTCCCTAGTCGCCATTGGCAACCGTTAACAAGGTAACGTAAACTGGGAGTATATATATGTAGAGAGAGTGAAACAGAGCGATCATAATCCAGAATGCATCAACATGAAAAAATTAATATCAAGCAGAATTTCTTCACAATAACTCTGGTGATTATTTTCCTAGAACATGGGGTCCTTGCATACTATTCAAATAATAGCAGTGGGAATAAAACTTTCCATTTCATAAGTACAAACACTGGTCTAGAATGTCAAATTAGAGGTCGTTATTACAGTACAGTTATGTACAGTCAGTTGTCAGAGACTACCTTGAATACACTGTGGAGAATACTATATGAAATACAGAAAACTTTGACGAGTTACCATTGTAGTCAAATTACTTAACTTCAGAATACTTCATTAAAGATCTCTTCAGTCAATAATAAATTCTCAAGTTAAACAATATGTAATCATTTTATCTGAATAAAAAATAGAAATTACTTTTTTATCACATTATTTGCGGAGTTTACAATCAACGTATGAATATGCTTTGAGCGGAATTAATGTTTGGAAGACTGACTCACTAATTTAAGCACAAAAATCTCAGAACCAAATCCATTTAACCTATATTAACTTGAATAGTAACATACCGACTACTCAGTTACATGCTATTATAGTAATTTCTAATTTTAATACCCCTCAGCAAAGAACCTATTCAATAATACTGCAGGAACTGACCATCGATGTAGGTCCATAGTTTTCTAGCGACAGACTTATAACACCCATAACCAAGGAATATTATAACTTAGATGTAAGTTACTTATTAGTAAAAACAATTGGCATATTCCCCCCTAATTGTAGAGTTGTAATCCATTGTTATGGTGGTTTAATAGCAAGTTATGTTCTTTATATGTCTTCTAAATGAAATTTTGCATTGAAATCTCTTATCTGAAGTACATATTATCGGTGGGAATTAGTCTATTGAACTAAATTACATTTGCTGTACTTTCACCAGAAAATCTGGCCTGACACTGATACCTGAGCAAAGTAATGGATTAAAGGAGGTAGTAAGTTCGAAAGTTAATTGTACACTATTGAATTTTCACAGAATCATGCTGGTATATTTTGTTCTATTTATTGGAACGGCCTGTGCATCGGTGGCACAGTGGTTAGGACTCTCGCCGACCATGCACATGGTCCAGGGTTCGATCCCCGGCCGACCCACACTCGATATCAATGGTCGGCCTGCAAAATTTGGGCTGCCGATATCACATGCTGAAAATTCCATACCTGTACTAAAAAATACGGTGTGGAATCAAGCTGTAATCCGAAAAAAATAAAGTGGTACCACTTTAAAAAAGAGATCGCCATACAATCGTCCATTTAACTAGATTTAGTCACATCCTTCTAACTCAAAAATACTCATAAACGTTTTAAAACCAGAAAAATAAACTCCTGGGATGGGATGTAGCCTAATATTTCAAGAAATTAAATCCTTGTATGCAACATTTTAACAAATCTAGTTATGATGACTGCTTCATTTGAGAAACACTCATAGGTACAACAGATTCATTGAGGCAGAAGACCTCAGAAACCACATGTGTCTTATTACTCTAGCTTGAAAAGGAAGGTATCCACGTCATGGATAATAACAAAAATAACCTCTGGAGATGATTGGATTTATGTAAGAGTTACACACTGGATTAGGAAACGATAGCTGACGTGGTGATTCAGAAGTAGCTGTAGCGATGCGCTACGGTGAAGTTGGTCAAGTAAACAACTCCGCTTAAGTCTTAGTGATGTAAGGGCATGTAAACACCACCAGATCCCTACTCCACACGTTATTCTGAAAGCTCCAAAACGAGTGATTTACCAGAAATATTTATGCCGACTTAGCCTGACCGCGTTGAACACAATATAAACTCAGCTATCCTTCCATAGTGTTATGAAAGGCGACTTTTTTGAAGTGATGTTGCTTACATTCAGTCTGATAGTAGTGTGAAAACGCTAAAAACTAACTGGATTTATGTCCAAACATCCGTAGGTTAATTTAGACGTGCCACTAATTAGTTTAGTGCGTCATAATTTACGAAGACATCTAGTGTTAATTAAGTGATTACATCATCAAAGTAAAGGTCCCAAATACCACCAATTTTAGAACATCGCTAACCACTACATTTTATATACTACCAAGTGAACGCGGTCATTTTATTCGAGTAATTGGAATACCAGTGATACAGTGACCAGCTGTTATAACCTAATTAAGTAGAGTGACGGTAACAGTAGACTTGTTTGTAAGTTTCATACAGGTAATTCCTTTCATAAATTTTCTTGATGACTTACTAGCATGACTAGAATTGTATTCGCAGCCGTGATATCTCGCCACCGCACTACACTATGGAAAGTAAGTTTCAGATTACAGTGAATCAGTTTGTTATCCGAAACTGAGCGCGTGCCCATCTGGTAATAAAAATAACCGCTATCAGGCCCGATCAAAATGATACTTTGGTGTTCTTACTAGTACAACTGTGCTAGTTCTAGTGTACAGTCCCAAGAGTCTGGTTTTTTCTGAGATTTGTAGCCAAACTTCAAATTAAAATGCACGAAGCGCTCGAACACATTAAGA